CGTCAGACACCGCCCCCTGGGACCTGGAGGACGCTAGGAGTTTCTGCAGTGTCCTCCTGAGAGTCTGGGAAAGGGCAGATTCTGAATTTTTAAACAATGGCCTGAGGCAGGTGATATCTTTTTTAAAATATATTTTGTATTGATGTCAGAGAGAGAGGGAGAGAGAGAGAGAAACATCAATGATGAGAGAGCATCATTGATGGGCTGCCTCCTGCACGCCCCCTACTGGGGATAGAGTCCGCAACATGGGCATGTGCCCTCCACGTGCCCTGAATCCAGTGGTGATCTCCTGGTTCATAGGTCGAGGCTCAACCGCTGAGCTGCACCAGCTGGGCACCGAGGGTATCTTTGAGAGACAGTTTCTTTTGCTGAAAATATAAAAGGGTGTTTATAAAGGGGCCTAAGTGGTAGTAAAAAAAATGACCGTAAAGAAAAGCTCACAACACTAGTATCACAAATTCTTTTCTCCAACTTTCTGTTTGGTCACGTTTCTTTCTTTCTTTTTGTATAAATATAAATGTGTAGAATTTTTAAAAAATACGTTTTGATTGATTTTAGAGAGAGAAACATCGATGAGAGAGACGTTGATGGGCTGCCTCATGCATGTCCCCCACTGGGGATCCAGCCACAACTGGGCATGTGCCCTGACAGGGTTGAACTCTTGGTTCATGGGTCCATGCTTAACCACTGAGCACACCAGCTGAGCTGTATGGTCACGTTTCTTTGCACAGTTCTTTGGAGAGTTTAAAGAAAAAAAATTTAATTCTGTCAATCCTATGCATTTTTTAAAAACATGTCTTCATTTTTCTGCTCAATTTTAAGCCAGATCTCTCCAACAGTCGCAATGCTAAGCTCTTATACAAAATTTAAAAAAAACACACAAAGGAATTGAAAGGTTCGGAATGGACCGGGGTCGCGCACCTATGACATGAGGCCATAATGTATCAAGAGAGATTTTATTCCTGGCACCTGGATGCAGGTGGGCTGAGACCGAGAAAGGCATCAGCCAAGAGAGCAGGGAGAGGTAGGTTTTTATTAATTTTTGCTGGCTGTAAGCCGCTCTGCTGACATAAGAGTCCGGTCCGTCCTTGGTTCCTCCCAGCGTCAGATGGCTAGTGGTTATCCGGGCTATGCGGTGCTCAAGGCTGCAAGCATTCTGCAAGATATTTGCTAAGCACAGTAAGTTTTTCTCTGCCCCATTTTATTCTCCTTAACCCTTTCAGGAATCAAGTTTTATTTATTCTACCGAATATGGATTAAATAGGAAATTCAAAAAGGTTTAGCAGAATCCATAACGACTAAAAATCGGGCATTGGGAGTTGGGGAAGGGAAGTGGACTATCCTGGAAACTGCACCCGAATACAGAAGGAGGCAGGTAACAGAAATTATTTATGATATATTTTTCTCTTGAAATAGTTAAAACCATTTAGTTACAAATTCAGAAGAATGCTTTTTTTTACACTTTATTTATTTATTTATATATTTATATTTTTCAACCACCATTTACATTCAGTACCATTCCGCACCAGTTTCAGATGCCCAGCAAAGTGGCGGGAAAGCCATGCACTCCACAGGGTGGTCCCCTCGCTGCCCCAAGCACCTACCTGGCCCCATATTCCATTACCTCCACACTATTGACTATCCAAAGAGAATGCACTCTTAATGGCCTTGGACTTGTGGGCAAATATGTATAGATCAAAGATAAACTTGGTAAAAAAAAAAAGTCTTACTGAATTATACCATTCACCCCACCTCTCCAATTAGACTTCTGACTGGCAATAGCCTTAGCCTGCTTTAGCGTCAGAAGTTGACTCCTCCTTTCTACCACTATTCAAGGCTTTTGTTTCCTGAGTTTCTTGTCCTTGTGATGTTCTCTGTCTTTCATTTTGTCTGTTTCTGTTTCCACTAGTGCTTCAAGATAACATGACTGAAACCCAATTGTTCTGTAAAACTCTCATCCCCCAGACAAAACTATCTCACTGTCCTCTCAACTGCACACACGCTACCATCTTGTTCGTATCGTGTTACTTATACACCATCTCTTCAATTAAATTGTAAGTAGTGTGGGGTTAAGAGCTTTCTTCTTATACCAATTGAAATGTCCAGATTTTATGCATCATAGTGTGGGGCCAATGTTGTCGATAGTACTACTGATGAGAAAATACATAGGCCAGCCAGCGTGACTCAGTGCTTGAGCATCAACCTATGCACCAGGAGGTCATGTTTCAATTCCCAGTCAGGGCACATGCCTGGGTTGCAGGCCCCAGCAATGATTCTCTCTCGTCATTGATGTTTCTATCTCTTTCTCTCCCTTCTCCTCTGAAATCAATACAAATATAATTTAAAAAAACAACAACACATATGCAAAAATATGCAAATACTGTTGTCATTATTATCCCCACTAAATACCCATTTGCCTAACAAAATCTACCTTAAAAAAGAAAGGGAAAATACTAAATTCTTCTTCTGGAATGAGCAACAAAATTATCATGATAATGTGGTTATGGGGATTACATAACAGAGGATACTGAGAAAGACCTTTTAATAAACAGACTACACAGAGTAATGTATTGTCCATGACATACTTTTCTCTCTCTGCGTGGGATGTTATCAGATTGCGTGTACCCTGTAAACAATTTAGCCACATCATCTTAACCTACATTTCCATAGTTACCATCTGCAGGGAAGATGTTCTTTCTGAGCTTCTGTATCTAGGAAATAGCAAACAAACCGCTCTGCTTGGTTGTCATGGTGGCAACCTAAATCCCCAGACCTCATTAGTAGATTCTTAGACAAATAAGTCACAGGGGAATACATAGATCATAGAAGTCATACATTGAGATGTAACAAGTTGCCTAAATGGTGAACCAAAATTTTGACAGTAATCATATAGAGAAAGAGAATCAGGCTTGCTAACCTAAACACCAACCTATACCATAACCTCCTGCTGGTGAACAATAGATTCTATTTGTTCTTGCTAGCAACTAAAACCTTATTTAATGGATTTCTTACGTGATTTTTTTTTTTTTAGCCAAAATTAAGAACAAAATTTCTAGATTGTTAGGGCAATTTTTCCTGATGTCTTATCAGTACATTATTTTGCATCAGTACATTATCACTACATTGAAAATCCCATATACAATTTAAAAAATCTATTATTATTAACTGCTATTATTATTTGTTTTTAAACATTTGTCGTTTCCACAGGCTAACAAAAAAGTGCCAAAAGAGTGATGCGGTTTCTCAATTCAGGGTTTAAATTAGGTATAATTTCAAATTGGTACCTTTTTCTAGAACAGGGCAAGACAAATAAAGAAACACAGCCTTGACTGAGAAAGTAGGAAAAGAATGAACATCTTTAACCATAGAATTCCAAACTCCCATCTCAGATGTGGCTGAGAGTGTTATTAAATTGCCTACGGAAATGTGTAATTAATAATTTGTGGAGGGTTGGAGAAGGGAATGACTTCTGAAGGCACTTTTAGTTTTAGCTTTTATTACAACTAATAATGTTGTTTTTATTACATTTAAGAGAATTTCAAGTATTATATTCTGTTCTTTGTGTTTCTCTAAACAGAAAAAGTATTCAAGAGATTAATATTTGAAGAATATCTTGCCAAATTTGATGTTTAAAAACTCAACCAACCAACATGAGTATATTGAGTGCCTAGTATTCTTGCTCAGCAAGAACCCCAACTTTACAGCAGAAGAAAAAAAGGTAAATAAATCAACAGTTACTCTGAGAGACCAAAAAAGAAATGATTAAGAGTATCAAATGGAAGATAATATTTGTTTCACTGTTAAACTATGTGGTGCAAACTAGAAAGGAATGTAGAGAAATCACTGAGGGCTAGAATTACCTGGTACCTTCCAGAGGAAACGATGGGGAAATTGATTTAACCGTATGGAGACTATATGAGGAGGTAAAGGGAAATAAGCCTGCATAGGATTTTATAAACACAAAATTATCAGTTGGTCTAAGACAGTGGTTCTCAACCTTGGCTGCACATTAGAATCACCTGGGAATCTTTTTAAAATCCTGATTTCTGGGCCTCATCCTCCAGAAATT